CTTCAATTTTTTACATCAACTAACTTTTCAGTGCTCACTATCTGTTAAAAACAAAGCTTGTTCTGCGATGTCATTCACTTCTCTTAAATTTTTGATAATTTATTACTACCTGAATCAGACTGTAATCAGAATCAGGGTACATAAACTATGGTCAAATTTCATATCCCGTCGACGCCCGAGTTGCGAACTCACAGGTACACAATTTTGGAGGGCGCCCGAGTTGCGACGAATTCAGGTAGTTTTATATTACGCCCGAGTTGCTAACGCACGAGTTGAGAAAGTATCTTTTTATTTTATACATACATGAATTTTATAAAAATTCGAAAATGGACCAACATATCTTTGTAACGAATCTGTTAATACATCTCTGAGTAAAGTTGAAAATAACTACTTGCTGATTAAACTATAGGAATATTGTTTGTTAATCTGTCAAGTAAACCTACATGTAACTTTACTCAAAGGTTAAAAGATCGACCCTTAACAGGTATTTTAAAGTTTATATTTAATAGCCCTTTGAAAGAATATATAAAATAAACATATTGTTAATCCAGCACTAAATTCATATTAAAATTTACTATATGAATAATCACCAAATAATAAATAATAATAACCCTGCATAAATATTTATTTGTAAATGTTTTTATCTACAACTGTCATTATATGGATGTATTATATGCGTATCTAAGGCAACATAAAGCAATCCATATTTCACTAGTGAGAATATATTCATATTACACGATTTTTGTCAATTATACCATACCCCACTAGAATTAAAAATCATTAGATCTAGTATGCGTTTGACAAGTTAGTTGACAGCATGTTGACAGTTATTCGTTGTTCCCGATTATTTTTTAAAATTAAACTTAAAATATTAAGCCCGTTTTAAGTGTTTATCAATTAAAAAAATGGAAGACGATGATTACATGGAACTAACACCTCCTGAAATCCGCGACGCTGCTAAAGTGGCGTCGTTGGAATTATTACCTGAAATATCGAGGAAAAATTATGAGATTGCATACAATAACTTTAAACGAGTTCCTGTATAAATTGGCGTTTTATTTCACACGGTGGCTTAAATACTCCTCATTTGAAAGGTCTTTTAATTGTGAACAATCTTGTCAATTCTATTTATAACAACTTCAAAGAATTTTTTCTAAAAATCCCCTTTTCGTTTTCGGTGAGCCCCCGTATTCAGTTGTAGATAAAGTATAGTATTCAATTCGTGTATAATGGACCATACAACACTCGTGTAATATGGTCAATATTATACACTTATACACTATAATATACTATTGTCAGTTCTTTTTTAGATAAATAATATGCTCCATGTCCGATACTCAAGCCTTTTGTTGTATCGTTTTAGAATTACTTTTTCTAAGCATATGACAAACGGCTTGTGGGGGAAAATTGTGGCAATTTGCATACATTTTTCCAGAAACTTTCCTATGTTCTGAAAATATAAAGACCACGCTCTGCACTCAAGCCATTTTTTTCTGGACTCCTAAATTCATAAGTTTTTATTGCAAAAAATTTCGTTGATGGGAAAATAACTGAAAAATCGAAAACAATTTCTGGTAAATTTTCCAACCTCAAAATGGACTTATCCACTCGCGCCACTCAAGCCAATATGTTTTTCGGGCTAGTTACGATGTATGTTTTTATACTCTCGATTGGCTTGTGTGGAAAAATCGGTTAAAATATCGATTTTTCTTTACAAGATTACGCCCTTATTTCAACCCTTTAGCCACTTGCAACATTAAAGCCTTTGGTTTTCCGAAGCCTAGTTCTATTAATTAATCATATAGTGAAAACGGCTTGCGTGGGAAAATGGGCAAAAACACCTTTTATTTCTGTTAAGGAAAATCGAATTTTCCATATGTTATCCCCAGGGGCCACTCGTAAATTTCCTTTCATTCTACTCAAAATCGATGTACTTTTCAACCCTCTTCGAGGCTTGTATGCGAAAATAGGGCACCTAAATCAGTCACTATCTGACGGTCTATAAGTCATTCCTCTCCTCTACGTTAATCTAACCGGAAAGATAATTTTATGGGGAATTCAGCAATATGACTTTTCATTGCGTTCCTTTTAATTTTAGCGCCCTCTAGCGGGATAAAAAATAATTACCTATGGTAAAGTGTGACACTTCATTTGAAAGCTAATTTTATAAGTAATCCAATGCACCACATAACATTAACCTAGATATCTCCATATTGCACTTGCAACAAAATAAATTTAGTAATAATGCATTATTTTTTCCTTTTAAGTTCAGTTTCGATTTAGTTAACATAATATTACGTGGTGTATTAAATTACTGATAAAATTAGCTTTCAAATAAAGTGTCACACTTTACCGTAGGTAATAATTTTTTATCCCGCTAGAGGTCGCTAAAATTAAAAGGAACGCAATGAACAGTCTTATTGCTGAATTCCCAATAAAATTACCTGTCCGACGGTATGTCATACAAAGTACTTTCCTAATTTAAATTGTAATGGTTAGATTGACGTAGGGGAGATGAATGACATGACAGTTGAGGATATTATAGAAAGGTGTCCCCCTTGAAATAAAAATCGACCTGTTTTTGCATTTCTTTCAAAAAAAATTCTACTTCAAGATATTCTGAGATACGGTCGGTCGCCACCCTTAATGGATCACCCTGTACAAACTCAAATAAAAAAAAAACAGCGATATTGGCGCTTGTACAAAATTTTGAACAGAATTTACAAATCAAAAGAAGACAATTATCTTAAATATTAACATATTAATCAATTATTTAATAATAATTATTTATCATAAATGAAGAAAAAGATTTTTAGTGGAATGAATATTTTTCATTCTAAAGGTAAATTACGTAAGTTAAAAGTAATTAATCACATAAATAAGTACAAGCTCGAATGCTCGGCCTGGTTAGAGGTGCTTTCTCACGTACACAAATTAAATTTAAAGGATTAAATACTGATAGAATCGCATGAATTCATTTCAGTTCTTTTGTCAAATATTAAAAGCTAATGATATTAAAAATATACTAGTCATGAAGCGAAGCAGCTAACTAAATAATAAAGTGTAAAGTAATAAATCCTATAAAATATGTGGTATGACTATGTTTAATGGAACCAAATTAAAAGGCTATTAAGAGCCAATTACAAAAAACAATGTCTTTTAAAACAGAACTTTGTCCAATTTAAAGAATATCAACAAGAAAATATTGCTTATTCAATATGTATACTTATTTACGTTTCTTAAAAAACAATTTATTTTTTTTTTTACATAAAAAATGTGCAAGTTTGTATGAATAATGCAAATCATTTTCTAAGTTTAAGGTGCAGGTGGTTGACCAGACAGAAACGGTTTGTAATCCATCAACAGGCAAAATGTGGCCAATGACTTCCTTCTGCTGTACCGGCTGGCACTAACAGCGTGGTGGAATAAAGAATAAAGACCAGAGCACGATAAGGTACTCTGAGTATATTGTCAAAAATTATATATATATATATATATACACGGTGGTATTAAATTATGTACCGTAATTATTAGGGGTGATTATGTAACAACACTCAAAAGGCGTGTAATATAAATAGATTTTTTTTATAATTTTAACGGTTTTGCATAGAAAGTTCAAATTGTAAACGTATGTGAAGGGAAAAAGGACACTTAATTTTCTGTACCACTTATTTCACCCCTTATGCGCAGAAAATGTAGCTTTGAAAGCTAAGGGTCACTTAGGAAATCATTTTATATAATACAAAACTATTTTACAAAATTTATAAAAACCGATTCACTGGTTAAAAAAAAAGGTTACTATTGTTAGTTATCGATAATAAAATAATATCATCGTTTTCGAGAATTTTAGGGGTTTAGTGTGAAATAAAGAGTTTTCGTCATGGTGGAGTGGAGGCGTTGCTATATACTCCGTCTTGGAAAATAGTTTTTGGACGACCACTACACTAAATCACATATTCCGTACTGCTTTTTTAAACATCAAAGCAGTCCATTCCGTACGAATACATAAATAGTACTGACGTATTAATCCACACGGCCATCTACGTTGTTTAATGTATTGAATATAAATTGTCGTATAATCTTTAGTACAAATAAAAAAAGATAATCTTATATCTTAAGAAAACATTTAATCAAACTTTAGCTAAATTTTATTATGTCTTCGCAGTGCCGTCTTTCATATGATTGGGAAACTGGGCCCAAGGCGGAAATGGGGCTCCTCTAAAATTAAAACAACTTAAAATTATTTACAATTAGTATATATACAGGGTGGGCCAACGAAAACTTTACACCCCAATATTCTGAATGAACTGAAAAAAACTTGTGGCTTTTATATTGCACTGTGCCACATAAACCAGTATCGAATTTAAGGAGTGCGCTGCACAAGGTACGAAAAGGGCGTATTCACATTTTGCTTTGAGTCTTGCTTGAAGACCAGAGTATTGCCCAGCCGTGTTAGAGGCGTTTTCGTAACTTTGACCTCTACAGTTGTTAATATCAATATCATGCTTTTCTAGGAACTCAATAACGGTATACTCTAAATAATCTCCTATGTGCTACTCTATGAGTATGAACGTCAAGAAGATTTCGACGATATTTTCCTCCCTAATATATCGTATTATAATAAATGTCATTTGATCTACATGTGTTAAATCGGGTGTTGAGTCAACACTAATTAAAGAATATTTAGATTCCTTTACTTCAGCTATAATTTGATCTCGCACTTTCTTACCCGTAACATTGATAAAATCATTTCAAATATTTGCTGAGAGATATGATGTCTGACCTTTTCCTGGATTTCCGTATCTGTTCAAATGTTCTGCAATAAATGGATCCAATTATTTGAATAATTTGAATTATTTGATTTGCTCCACGAAACGCAAGTCCTCTGGATGCCAAAAACTTAATAACAGCTACGATTATTCTTAGTACATTTTTCCAGTACTGAACTTTCTTTTCAAATTGAGAAACAATGGCTGTATTCACTCTACCAATAGACTTACTTCTTAGCTTTGTATTGTATTATGGTTGGTCTGTGTTCCATGCTATTTTCGTGATTCAAAATATATTCTTGAATGTGCTTCCAATCGTTACATCCATTGTGTCCACTAAATTTGGTTTCAGTGGAAGAAAATATTCTACACGTAAAACAAAATAACGTATTTTTTGCGGGAGAATAGAGTAACCATTTTCTATCTACCTTCTCGCCATTCTTTAGTGTACGAATGAAAACTGATTTTGATAGAGTTCGCATTTTTATGTTATCGTTTGTTTCCTTGTAGGGTCTGACACATTTTGAAAAATCACTGTCCCTATTCTGTCCTTATTCTGTCCCTATTCTTATAAATAACGAACGAGTTTTTTCGTTGAGAACAAGCGGCCAATCGCCACTATCACTTGATAGAGATTATTCTATTGGCACTGTTATCATACTGGTTTTTCTGAAATGAGGTTGGGACTTCGAAGAACTCACTAGAACGTCAACAGCGGTTGAAGTTGAGGCAGAGAGTTCTCAATTTTGTCCTTGACTCTGATATTCTATCGAGGGTGTTGATAATGGATAAAATTATGTAAGTTTTGGTAATTTATTAATGGCATCTTTTTGCAGAGTTGATTTTTTTCTTTTGGTACCGGGGCCCCGAAGACAGCGGGGCCCTGGGCCTGTACCCGGTGGGCCCTTATGGAAAGACGGCACTGCGTGTTCGCATTTATATCTGTGAGTCCCAATACATGACTTTCCACTAGGTTAGATCCCAGCCACAGCAAAAAATCAAATCAGCTCATCAGGGATACCTGGAAACTCTAAGTTCTAAATTCCATCGACCTAATAGTTTGCATTGTATTGTGCTCACAAAAAAAAATGAATTTTATACCTCTCTATAAATATCTCAAATACGGTTCATTTTAGGAACATCATGTTTCTAACAAAATTTAATAATAATGACATTTTGAAAAAAAATTATCCGAAGAATTTTCTTCTCCAATTATAAATAACATAAATATGCCAAAAAGTAAAAAAAAAAAACCTATAAAGTTTGCCCAAAATCTATAGTATAGAGAGAGAAGAAAGGAGTGCAGTAATTTAATTTGCAGAACGTAGTACAGGTTAAAGAGGTAGACATTTTATTTATATATTATCTCATTAGTCTAAGATCCGAAGTAAGGTCGACCTTCACCCATCTGTTTAAAGGATGAAAGTTTCTTTTTATTACATAAAATATATTTATAAATATACCGCAAATGGGTTGCCTAAGAAAATATGGTCCAGACTATTCTTTTTCTTAAAGTAAAAAAAAACGACACCCTGTAAAGTATTCCCCAGATGCTTCAACTATGCACAAACTTTAATCAGCTCACCGCAGGATGGATTAAAACTTAAGTTTAAAATTTGGTGTTTTTCTCTTCATCCGTTTTTGAGTTGTCTTCAAAATTCGAAATTTGCATTTTTCCTCAAATATCTCGAATTAGATCCATTTTAGGAAAATCATGTATGGGAACAAAATAATAGATACTGACATCATAAACAACTTTTATCATGATTTTTATAGTTTCCTTATCTGTACACAGAAAGGAAAGTAAAAAATGGCCGTGACCGTATTTTCTTAGGCTACCCATTTGCGGTATATTTAAAAACATATTTTATTTAATAAAAAATAAGTTTTATCCATTAAACAGATGGGTGAAGGTCGACCCTACTTACGGATCCTGGACTACATCCTTCAATGCTTATTTGTAGTTAAAATGAAAAGTTTAATACATCTGATCGGTCTAATAAAAGTATTCGTTTGGATTTAATCGTTTCCATGGTTTTTACTATAATAAACATTTTCTTTTGACAGATAAGTCAGACTTTTATTAATTTATTCATAGCCGTATCATATGTATTTTAATTGATTCGGAATGTATTAGTAAATATATTATAATTTTACCGTTTAGGAATGGCAAGTGCATTTAAAAATATTGCAAGCACAAGTATGCGTAAACGACCTAGTGGACACAAAGCATTATCTTTAGAAGAAAAAAATATCATATTTATTTAATAATCTTCGAAAAGGCTTTGTTTCACTTTCTGTGGATGAAATAGCCACTAAATGTGAGACCTATACTGGAGTATCTAAGCGGAGAGTGTATAACATTATTAAAGAAGATACAGCTACATCCGAAAAAGCGCACAGGCAGAAATAAGACCTTTATTAAAACTTGGATAAAGAATGTAATAAGGCTAATGGTATATTCTTTTTTCTTTCGAAATGAAATTCCTACACTTAAAAAATTACACTCAGAAATAGAAAATAGCCCCACTCTTCCAAATATATCATATTTTCATCTGCAAAAGATATTACATGAATAAAATTTTCGTTACAAATAACGTGACAGAAACAGTTTTTTAATAGAGAAAGACGAAATCATTGCATGGAGACATGATTATTTAAGGAAAATAGCGGACGCAAGGAATCACTATAAACAGGTATTTTATTTAGATGAAACATAGGTTATGCTGGACATATAGTAACAAAAATTTGGCAAGATACCTCCATAAAAACTAAAAAACAAGCCTTTATGAAAGAGATCTCTTGTAGATTAAAAATCCAACAGGAAAAGGAAATCGTTTAATAATAATCCACATTGGAAGCACTGATAGATTTTTGCCAGATGGTTTACTTATTTTCGAGTCAAAGAAAACAGAAGACTACCATGAAGAAATGGATTGACCTGTTTGCAAATTGGTTTCAGAACATTATAAAAAAAAATCCAGCTTACTCCTTTATTGTTTTGGATAATGCATCCTATCACAGTCCATTTACTACCCACAACAAGATGGAAAAAAGAAGATATTTCAAAATGGCTTCATTCTAAAAATATCAGTCCTCCTAAATCCTTGAAGGCAGAAAATTACTCGTAATAGCAAGGCAACATAAAACCAAATTCAAAAAATATAGACGACATGACCCGAGCAAAAGGAATTGAACTTCTCAGATTGCCTCCTAACCACGCAGAGTCAAATCCCATTGAACTGATCTGGTAACAATTAAAAGGTTATGTTTCTCGAAATAATACAACATTTAAATTACCTGATGTGCGAAATTTGTTTTGTTTCAGGTGTAAATGGAGAACATTGGAGAAAATGCAGTGATCATGTTAAAAAGGTGGATAATTCATTTTGGAAAGTGGATATAGCAATGGAAAACTTAATAGACCCTATAATAATAAACCTCAGTAAAGACAATGATAATGATACCTGTAGTTATAGTGAAGACAGTGACTTTTAAAGATAGTGTACTGAAGTGTTACTTTTAATGCCAAGAGATTAAAAAAAGATTAATCGCATTAATAATATAATCCTCTTTGTTATTTATTGGTTAAATTTAATTCGTTCGATGTTAAAGTGCAACAATGTTGTCAAAAGCATAAGATTTATTTTTATATGCCATGACCTTTTTTATAATATAGAAACTTATTTTGCAAAGTACACCTATGGAATGTGACGTTATATCCCCACTATTACTGCACTCCTCTTTTATTCAGACTATACAATGGGAAATGTAAGACAGCGGATTGTGCATGCTCAGCGTTTAGTGAAAGATAGTACAAGAGGATCCTGGGTCCATTAAAACCCTTTAGCGGGCAGTGGTTGGTATTTAAACCACTTAATTTTTCTGCTTGTACGATTTAGCGCGCAGGCTGAATTTAGACCAGATCTCTGCTAGACACTTACCGGTAACGTTTTCAGGCGAAATATCAACCCGTAATAAAATTTGGCGCGCTATTTAGTGCACGTCCCAGCTTCGTCCCTAACAAGTGGTCGAATATCTGCCTCTGTACACATACAGTTAGTTATTATTTGTTTATTTGGTTGTGTATTGAAGTATTGATTTACTGTTTTTTTATTTTAAAAATAAATGTTTATATTCATTATTTTTTTTTTTTTATTTTGAAAAACTGAACTAGTCGATATTTTGAGTACGATTCGAGCCCAAAGTGTGCCATCCTGAACGTACGCTTGTCGAAAAATTGACCACCTTCTACAACTCAAAGTTCGAACTTGTAATTGTTTTAAGACACAGTAATATACTTAGTTTTACTTATATAACCCACACATATCGTTATTTTTCGAAAACCTGGCAAAAAATAGTTTTTCGCGTTAAAGGGTTAATAGACCTGCGTCATGTTAGCAAGTAGCCAGCCAGCAATAAATTCAGGTGAACGCCAAAGCGCCAGCGGTCATACTAAATTTTTAACATCTAATTATTTTAAGTTCCGACAAAAAGAATATATATAATCATAATTTGTTGCATTATAATTATTATAACCCTTTCATAAAATTATAATAAGGGATGTAGAGAGGGCTAAAGCTTTTATTACTAGCACAAAATTTGTGTTTTTCAAAAATTTATTTAGGTCATTGGATAGATAATAAAAAAACAAAAAACTTTTTCAAATACCATTTTAAATGCTATATGGGTAATAAGAGATTTAGAGAGCTTTGAAATTTCAAAGTTTTTATTGCTGAACCAAAATTTGTTTTTTTTTTGAAAATTCATTTAGGCCATTCGAAAGATAATAAAAAAACAAACAACTTTTTCAAATACCATTTTAAATGCTATATGGGTAATAAGACATTTAGAGAGCTTTCAAAGTTTTTATTGCTGAACCAAAATTTGTTTTTTTTGAAAATTCATTTAAGCCATTCGAAAGATAATAAAACAACAAACAACTTTTTCAAATACCATTTTAAATGCTATATGGGCAATAAGAGATTTAGAGAGTTTTGAAATTTCAAAGTTTTTATTGCTGAACCAAAATTTGTTTTTTTTTGAAAATTCATTTAGGCCATTCGAAAGATAATAAAAAACAAACAACTTTTTCAAATACCATTTTAAATGCTATATGGGTAATAAGACATTTAGAAAGCTTTCAAAGTTTTTATTGCTAAACCAAAATTTGTTTTTTTTTGAAAATTCATTTAAGCCATTCGAAAGATAATAAAAAAACAAACAACTTTTTCAAATACCATTTTAAATGCTATATGGGTTATAAGAGATTTAGAGAGCTTTCAAAGTTTTTATTGCTGAACCAAAATTTGTTTTTTTTTAAATTCATTTGGGCCATTCGAAAGATAATAAAAAAACAAACAACT